AATACACAGCCAGAAATCTCACAGGCCTGTCGCAAGCTGTTGATTTTACCGGCTTGCGGCAAGTTGTCAACAAGTCGCGACAGGTCTGTTGGTTTCGTCAGGCGGTAACAGGCTTGCGGTAACAGGTCTGTCGCAAGCTGTTGACAACAGAGCCGTAGCGACTTGTTGAAACAACCCGCTACAAACCTGTTACTAACAAGAGATAACAGGTCTGATAGAACAACTTGCAGCAAGTCTGTTGAAATCAACAGGTCTGTTCCAACCTGTTCCAACAGACCTGTCGCGAGTTGTTTTTGTCAAGTCTGCAGCAAGCTTGTTATCAGACCTGCGACAAACCTGTCCACAACAAACAATTTTTGTCCTGTCACAACAAGTTTCAACAAGCCTGTTGTTGGGAAACAAACCGAAAATGTGAGTAAAGAGATATAAAATCGCACGAAATGGACACTTCCGGCTTCACTTTCTCATTTAATCATTGTCATTGGTGGCGATATTAAATCACATAGGAGAGATTATAGTCCATAGTATCTATTCTCTGATTATTATAAAATGCAAAAGCCGCTGTTTTATTTTTTTTTAAAGTTCCGATTTCCAAAATCCAAATTCCAATTTGCTGACGTGTGCTATCGCTATATTTCTTTAATCGGATTGGATAAACGCGTGTGCACACGTCATCATTCCTCGTTGCAATTGGGCGAAATATTACAAACATATCAATCACGTAATCACAGAGTAGATAAGACATACAGAGACGTAACTGACCGTTGTAAACACTGCGGAAGATTACGTTGTCATGTACCCACTTTTTTTCAGGCGACCTGGCGAAAAATGATCAACTGCGCGTGCTCAGCAAGTTTAAAGTGAGTCGTCATCAGGTCATCATCCAATCAGATGCATGCATCCAGTAACTTGCCGAGCATGCGCACAAAAAAAGTGGGTACACTAGTTACGTCTCTGTATGTCTCTACTCTGTGACGTAATCATGTTTAGTTGTTTTTCAATTTTGACTTTTTGAGCCAAACAAAATTTCAACAACTGCCTCAAACAAAATCAAACAAGTTCAAAGCTGTTTTGATTTTTGAAGAAACTGTGGCAATGAGAATACAAGATCTACTAGAGCTTAAGAAATGAACAATACATGAACAACCGAGTGTTAACTGCAACGTTCGTCATTGTTGATATGAACATGAAATTCGTTATATAATTTCTTTCCAATTTCAAATGAAATCTGCGAGCGAGGAAGACGCCTTATTGAAGCTTTGTGTTATGGTATGTACTGTTTTGAAGAAAAATATGCAAGTAGGTTGTCATATTTCGGTCGTACTTAAAGACAATTAATTTTGAAAATTGTTTACGATAAGAACCTTTCTTGAATTTGTCGTATTTTTTCGGCTGTTTTGCTCAAAAATTATCTCGCAAGTTTGTTTATAAAACTTTATATTCATATATAAAAATTATTTCGCAAGTTTGTTTATAAAACTTTATATTCATATATAAAAATTATTTCGCAAGTTTGTTTATAAAACTTTATATTCATATATAAAAATTATCTCGCAAGTTTGTTTATAAAACTTTATATTCATATATATAAACTAGGGATCCAAGGATAGTGTGAAGTTTCAAATTGAAAAAGACACTGCAAGAACTATATAGGTTCGCCGACAACCTAGAAAAGCTGATGGCTTACACTACGAAATAAACAATTACCAAAGGCATTTCATCTCATGCGCTCGGCGCACGACGTTTGAAACAAGCCTGACACATCAGAAACGTGCCTTGTGAAACTGGCACAATTTATCTATTTATTGTGATGCTACACACATGCTAAATTTCAATTGTTTCACCAACAACCAAATTTTGCATATTCTAAATTTTCATTTGCATTTGTATTTGCAGCTGTCGCTAAAAGCATCCCCACGAGGCTACTGCTATGCTAAACTTATCTAAAACTATAATTGAAATAGCTGTATACAATATGTTATGAATAATAAGCACTACGTCGTTATATCATTGAAAGGAAGCACTTTATCTTCATCCGTTCCGTATTTTATCCGCATATCCGTTCCGTGGATCCGCTCCATCCGCTTCCGCATTTTAACCTAATTGTGACATGTTTCACAATAACAAGTCTCATTGACCTTTGACTTTTCGAAGGTTACGTTGTGTCTATTTTCAGCTTTTCGCATGTGTTGAATAATGTCACTTTAGATTTCAATAGTTTCGCAGTTATAGGCTTATAGCTGCAGTGTTTAAAGCAGTTTTGACAAGCTTTGATACAGTTCTGTGTACAGAATACTACAGATTGATTCTCGTAAGATCTGGTAGAATTATCGTTGCACTGAACACGGGTTTGCACCGTTGA